AACCAATATATATATATATATATATGTACACATATATATATACACACATATATATATATATATTTGTGTGTGTGTGACCCGCCTACTCAAGACCGTGGGTGTCACCCTGTTATCCTACTATTAGCACTTGACTGTGCAGGGAATAAAGGCAAACTCGAAGAAAACCACGGAGTGGTACTCGGGATTTCACAGATTCCTATCTGAAAATGACTTCTTCCTACGTCAGAGAAAGTCGTTTATCATAAGCAAAGTTAAAAAACCAAAACAGTAGGCAATTCGAATTTCTATACACGGTTCGACAACGCATCGTTCGAACCATCTGGTTTCTGTCCGAAGAACAACTATTCGTTCTCGTCTTATGTTTCCTCTTGTTTCCAGGTGGAGAAAAATCTCGACATATACAAATCTCTGTACGATATCGTGCTAGTTGATCCCGCGAATTTCACAATACCCTTGTCAATCGTTCGATTCGTCCTCCGGCTGGATGATACTCCTGATTCTCGTGGAGAGGCCCTGCCGAACTCATCCAGGGACTAACTGATTCGGTTCGACGTGTGTAATTGTGTGTGTGTACAGTCTTTGAATCTTGCATTCGTTGCACACAATCATCTAATCTGTGTCCGCATTTCGCACATTACCGATTGCTTGATGTCAATTGACTCTTTTCTCTCAGCGCTCTATTTTCAACCACCCTGTACAACCACACCTGCTTTGTAACACATCGAACATTGACCAGTTCTTATTAGAGTCAATCACACAAACCGTGTCGCATTTCTGTTCAATGGGTCTGCATCTCTGGTTTCTTTAGTCGAGATTCAACGAGATTTATCAAATAAATTGTCTTTTAGTATGGCGAAAGTCTTCTGCTTCCCTTCATTACAGAACATTACATTACGTTACAGAACAAGCGATTTGAGCTGCTCTCAAGGCGAGCACACATTCGCGTCAGGTTGTTTTGTTCACGGAGTGTGGGAGCTTGTGGATCATGACCACTGGGCTTCACCGGAGGCCTACGACCTCGTAACTAGATCACGTAACAGTATTCTAAATGATGAGGCCAAATCAATTGTGTGATCTGCTATTAGAATATGCTTCTCAGTAGATGCAGCCGAGTTCCTTCCATACCTTTTCAACTTCAAGTTAATCCAACCAATCGCACTCCATTGGAAGGCCGTCAAATGCCACCGACTGGACCGGGTCTATCTAAACCACGTCCAGTCCGAATGAACTAACTTCTCGGTAGACAAACAAAAGTACATTGAGTGAGTTACCGAGTGAGGATGAAAGTTTCGGTGTGGTGAGGTGGGCCGTTCTCCCCCCCCCACACACACACCCGTTCTATCCGGGAACGCTATGTTCGTGATCGTTGATTGAATGTGCGTCATAGATACGAAAGAACGAACCCAGAGTTAATTGACATTTGTCGGTCGGGTAAGGAAGCAAATCACGTCAAGATGGGTCGATGAGTCAGTCGGTCTCCATGCCCAGATGTGAATGTGAACATGATTCATTGCATGAGTGGAGTCAGTCTAAGACCTTAATAACCCAATGTGTAAATTCTATTGAGGCCGAATTTCTCTCGAATAAAACCAACCCATCTGAATTGTTAAGTATATTATGAAGTGTTTATTTCTGCCAAAAATACTTCAGCAATCGTATGTTATTCAAAGGAATCGGTTTTATTCGAGAGAAATTCGGCCTCAATAGAATTTACACATTGGGTTATTAAGGTCTTAGACTGACTCCACTCATGCAATGAATCATGTTCACATTCACATCTGGGCATGGAGACCGACTGACTCATC